CCTGCGTACGCGATGAACACCTAGTGAGTATGGGGACGGAGGGCGTGTGGGTTAGTGTTGTTAATCAAGTGTTTAAAAATCTTTTATGCGACACGTAAAACACGAAACACGTGGATAAATGAAAATAATTAATTTGTGTTGGCTCAATTAATTACAAAGTTAAACAGAAATAATTCATGAATTACGTCACTGTCAGGCATAAATAATTTATAAACATGAATATAAATAAAACCTATATGAATTTATAATCAACGTTGGTCATAAAATAAATACACATCATGAGAAATATGTAGGCAAATTTCTAGTTGGTTTAGTTTATCTAGAATTAAATTAATAAACAGTCATAAGCAATTAAAATGATGCTTGTCAGGGTTACGGGTTAGGCATACCCTTTGCCCTTCGATATACGTTACATATCGATATGTCATATCCACGCGCATGCGAATATTTCCTGTATATTGTAAGGAAACCTTTCACGGAATTTATAGACGGGAAGAATCCTACTCGGGCAGAACTGGGTCGTTGGCGTATCGTATAGGGTCTGATACGTCCGAGTTCTACGTGGAGACCTCTAGATCTGCGATATAAAAGGGACCCCCTAGGGAGGGTTTAAGATATCGAATCTCAGAGCCAACACAACCTACACAGCCTATGAAGCCGGAGCCTACGAGGAGCCAAATCGTCGAGGGCTAGTCGAAACAACTCGACTACAATCTCGCCGGATCCGACAAGTTCCCTTGTTCCCTTTGTAATCTGTGTTTTCTACCATATAATCCCACATCAACTGGATTAGGGTTATTACCTATCAAGGGGCCTGAACCAGTATAATTCTTGTCTTTTGTTTGCTTGATGTCGTACTACGTAGGTCCTTGTACCAACGTACCCCAATACCCTCTATATCTGGTCTACGGGTATCACCCGTCGACAGTGGCGCGCCAGGTAGGGGGCCTTGGTACTCAAGGTTCTACTACTATGTCATCCAGCTTCGTCGACAACAACGTCAGCACTAGCCTCAGTACTCCCTGCTTCAACAATGCTGGTATGGACTCAAGTCGGCGAAATCGTCTTCCCGGTTTACACCACGACGCCGATCTCAACCAGTCCTCCAATGACTGGAGACGAGAACGCAGTGGCTACGAACCAAGGCGATTCCATGTCGAAAAATCCTCCCATCGAGACGAAGAACGGAATATCGATGACATCTAAGCTCGAGAAGGATTCTGATACGGTCAAACCTTGTCCTTCCGACATGAACCACGAGTCGACAAAGATGACTTCCGAAGCCACAAGGTCTTGGTGTCCTATCCACAAAACCAAGAAACACACTCTGCAAGATTGCTGGGTTTTCCTCAACGTCCGTGTTGAAATTCGCGCCTGCAAAGAACATGGAATTCAACGTACTTCTCCAACTCAGGATGTCTATTGTCCTATTCACAAGACAAAGAATCATGACCTCTCGAGCTGCAAAGTCTTTCTCGGCGCCATGAAAGCTCCGTCTCCTAAGTCATATGTCCCCATCAGGGATAACAGCAAGGAACAAGGAGCGACTCTAACTTCAGATCGATTCGTTGGGGTAATCGATATCGATCCTCATGAACCATCGGTCTTACATCTCCTTGAGGACTATGGGTCATCGACAACGAGCGCGCCGTGGGAGGTATTGGCTATCGATGACGTTGGCACGTCAGCGCACGCCAACGCAGAAGTGGGGAATCAATCAACTACTCTAGCCCAGCATATCAGGGCTGTTCAAGCGATACTGAGGAAAACTCCTTACGATCCCGTTCTGAACGTTGACCTCGAGCGTTGGACAGAACGACTACGGGAATCGGTGACTAACCTCAGCAACGCGTTTGAAGAAGCCACTACCGCAGCACACCAGGAGCAGCCACCAACTGGCGAGGCCAATGGTGAAGATCCGGAACGGAGGGAATCACCTCAACGAGCTACCCCTCCACCTCGCGGCACTGGCGATCTCCGAGATCAAATCAACGGCCGCCGAGAAGCACGACGCACACGAGACAACGTGAATCGCTCTCGGCGTCATGTCTCTTCACGGTGCCATGATAACATAAATCGAGGAGACCGCTCAAACGAGGACCGGGACCACGACAACCATCACGATCACAACGATCGCGAACGACGGGTGCCAGACAATACTGGTCATGGCCGCCGCCGTATCGACGACGACGATGGAGATCGGCGCCGAGACAACAGCGGAAGACGACGACAGGATTCCCGAGATCCAGGCCGTCATCCTCGTAATCGTACGCCGGAACCAAGCGACCCGGAAGCCTTACCTATTTTCTAATTAGGTATAGATAAAGATATATGGATATAGATTTATGTTTGAAATAAAGGCCAAAATAAAATTTCATTATTGAAAAACATATAAATACAGAGTATATGAATTTGATAACCATATATATGTATACTTTTAAAAAATAATCACTATTATGATCAGCTGTGACCATTGTTTATTTAATCGCTTGCCTTATACACATCCGTAAAGACTTAAGTGCTGAAGTACATCTTCAGGTGAAAAAAGAATCTGCTGCGCCTGATACTACTCTCCATTGCTCCATCCATGCTGTACGGTGCGCCCTGGAACCACTGTGTCAACGGCTCGCCGACGCGAGACAGAGAGGAGTCCCAACTCCCCCGTCTGATTTGTAGCGATAGGAGCGATCTGCAGGCTGGTGGCGCACAGACTCCAGACTTTGTGGGCCGCATTGCGCAGCAAAATCGGAGTGACGGAGGTGGCGACGTACGCCGGATAAAAATCGGACCGAAAAAATCACATAAATGAATCGTAAATACAAGCATATATGTACCAAATGTATGACTTAAGTAGACCAAATGTATGACTTAAGTAGACAGAAACTAATCAATTGAGTTACTTGACCTCGCTCTCTCGATATTTTATGGGCCTGTTCAGATTGTAGCCAAAATGGTAATATTGTCAAAATTTTGGTAAGATTTTTTATATATTTACCAAATTTGGCAACAAACTAAACGTAGATATTTTTTTGACAACTTTAAAAAAAATAGTATGGCTGAAAATGACATCAATCTGAACAGCCCCCGTATCTTTTTATCTTTCGGTACTAAAATTATTTGTCATGTGCTAAAGATGGAGTCCAAATATGTAAGTTATTTTTGTTATTATAAATATTTTGTTTGGATCCAATCGAGCTAACTGGTGTTGTAGTTTTTTCTGTCACGTTAAAGTACACGGGAAGCAACTGTACATCAACGGTACATTAATCGACGGCTTGACGCACATAGTTATCTGCTCACCTATTATAAAAGGGGAATTAGGCAACACGATCCTCTCCTCTCCCCCACTTGTCATCCCCACATTAACCCCTCCTCTCTCTCCCACTGGTCATCCCACGTCAACGCCTCCTCTCCCCCACGTGTGATCACATCGAAGACATGGAGAACGGGCAGGGGGCTGGGGCAGCTGGATTTTTCACATTTTGGTCCTTTTGAAAAACTTATTTCGCAAATAGACCCCTGAAAAAACTTATCCTAGAAATGGTCCTTTTTTGGGCGCCAGAGTGGCTGGCGCCGTCATCCAACGGGACGGCGCCAGAGAGGCTGGCGCCGTCCTCCTGCCACAGTGGCGCACGCGAACCGACGTGGCAGGAGGAGGGCGCCAGCCATGCTGGCGCCGCCGCCTCCATTCCTGTTTCTCTGTATGAAGTTGCAACGGTGTCATTTTTATTTTATTTTTTCGGATGTTTTTTCACACTTAGGATCACGATACAACCAACCACAAAAAAAATTTAAACTCGAACTACCACTTAACTAAGTCTGAAAATAGCTAGCATACCACTCAGTCTACTTTGCACCTTCACTAAAATTAGACCATAATTCCTTTAGTAAAACCCTTTGATCAGCATGTTAAACATAATGCACTCTACCACTATATGAAATTACTTAATCTAATTCAAAATATAACCACATGAAATGACATATATAAGTTAAACAGTACATAGAGATGTAATTTTTTTTATTTTTATTTCATTTTTTTGATATTTTTTTCACACTTAGGAGAACATAGGAACCAACCGTATAAAAAATAAACTTAAACGGACAAAATATGTGACTTGTAGAATTTTCCAAAACTCTACCGAAACGGACAAAATATGTCATCTAATAAAATAGGCGTAACTTTCTCATACGGACTCGGAATCAGGCAAATAATATATGCACGGACATCTATAGAAAATGTTACATCCGATTCTCTCTAGCTTTGCCGGGTTCGGCGATATTAAAACCTCCAAATTCCGCTTGCAAGATTGTGTTTTCGAGGAGAGAAGTTTTTCGGTAGAACTTTGGAAAATTCCACATACCACATATTTCGTCCGTTTGAGTTTATTTTTTACATGGTTGATTCCTGTGAGTTCCTAAGTGTGAAAAAAATATCAAAAAATAAAATAAAAATAAAAAAGTTGCACATCTCTCCTTTGCACTAGTTCGGAGAGAGAGGAGAGGAGAGGAAAAATTCTACAGGTCACATATTACGTCCATTTGAGTTCAATTTTTCTATGGTTGGTTTTTATGTGTCCCTAAGCGTGAAAAAAATATCAAACAAATAAAACAAAAATAAAAAATTTCGGGGGGGGGGGCGCCAGCCACTCTGGCGCACTCCCTAGCCACCTCAGCATCGCCCCGCCACGTCGGCAGGGGGACGGCGCCAGAGAGGCTGGCACTGTCCTGTTGGACGACGGCGCCAGCCACTCTGGCGCCCCAAAAAGGACCATTTTTAGGATAAGTTTTTCTAGGGGTCTATTTGCGAAATAAGTTTTTTAAAAGGACCAAAATGTGAAAAATCCAGGCTGGGGCACCAGCACCACCGGTGCTTTCTCTGTGGGCTCGTGGTCACCGATTCTTGTGCAGGGTGTGTGTTCTTTCTGACGACGATGAGACGGTGACAGTACCACGCCTCACGAGGGATGACATGTGGCGCCACTATCGTTTAGAGCACCATCGTCTGATCTTGCCATTCGTTTGCCGCAATTGCGGTAACAGGTTCCCTGCTCAGCGAGGACCTACATGTTCACATTTCGCTCAATGAGTGTCAGCGCTGAGCGCCGATCGTCGGTGCCGTGGAATTTTCTTGTGTTTCTTGGTTCGTGGTTGGACGCTTGAACATTGTGTCGTTTGATGGGTCGGACTATGTGAACCCAATTCTGTACTTCCTTTTACGTGTTGAGGCCGTGAGATAGCATATGCGTCAACAACGCGGGTCGAACTGCCGACCCAAGAGGCGAAGATGGTGACCAGCCGGTTCGGGGAGAGGCAGCCACCGCGACGGCTTCTTGGCGACGACGGCGGCCCCAGCGTCCACGGCGATGGCTTCTTGGCGACGGCGGCGGCCGCAGCGTCCACGGCGAGGGCTTCTTGGCGACGGCGGCGGCCCCAGCGTCCACGGCGACTGCTTCTTGGCGACGGTGGCGGCCCCAGCGTCCACGGCGGCGGCGGCCCCAGCGTCCACGGTGACGGCGGCGCCCCCAACGTCCACGGCGACGGCTTCTTCGACGGCGGCGGCCCCAGCATCGACGGGACCACGACGACAAAGAAGGCGTCCAAGGGTTCATATCGGCGGCAAGAAGGCGGCCGGAATCCAAGAATGCACGAGTACAACAAGAACGGCGAGAAGTTTCGGAGCGCACGAGGTCCTGGCGGGGCAACCTCAAGAACGCGACCAGAGGCCAAGAAGGCGGTTCCGAAGATCGGAGATGAAGAATCACCCCGCCGAAGTCGGAGATAGAAGCGGGGTTCTTGGCGAATACGGCTGGATCAAGAACGCGGCGGCAGAAATCGGAGATCACTGAAGTGGCGCACGGATTCTTGCGACGGCTCCAACAGGTACGGATAAGTTGTTCTTTGCTTTCACCTTTGAGCATTTAGTTGGTTGATCAGTGTGTTGGAGACCTAATTTTTCAGCTTGTTCAGCAGTAGAATATTATCTTCTCCAGTTAACTAGTTAAGCATGCTATTGTCGGTACTCAGTACTGCTTTGCTTCAATAAAATGGTATTTATGGTTGTGATCGTGCAGATAATTAGATTGCATTGGACGTGCTTTGCTTAGCACACACCCTAAATCTTGTAGAATCAGTTCACAACAGCTATATCCTTTATCAGGTTTTGGGGGAAGTGGGTCATCATTTGCTTCAGATGATCCATTTTCCTCCAAATAAAGGTCATCTTAGAATTTCCAGTTATACATGTATAGGTGTGTTTGTTGCCTTTGAGATATCCATGTAAGGGCTTCGTGCTTCCTGAATATCTTTGATTTTTTTGTTGGTTGATGCAATGTGATCGATGTGGTCTTGTTGTGCAATATTACTTATGTGACCTGTAGTCTCATATCGCCCTTTTGCAAAAATTCTATTATAGCTTTTATGTCATTATTTACTTATTAGTCAAAATCAAGCTGGTTAACCCATTCTCTCTTTGGTATATTAAATTGCACATTGGGTAAGTTATTTTTACCAAACTTTCATCTTAGACCACCTCATTGGCAATGTTTCAGATTGCGGAGATCCAGTGTTTCAAGAAAAAAAAGAATCGCCGGGCGTGTTTCAGAAAATAAATGGATGATAGAAGATATGCTAGAGTTGCTGCTGCTGGAGGAGGGGTATCTGTTACAGTAAGCCACCTCCCCTTGAGCTGAAATGACCAATTGTATCCCTTGTTGTGATTGGTGTCAGTGTCAGAGATGGAGTTCTCTGACTTGTTGACAGGTAAGTGTGTAACTTTTAATTATCTCATTTCATGAACGAATTCTTATGGAATAAAGTTTGCAAAGAAGAAAAAGGGGTGTTACCTTTTTCTTATGGTTATCTTGAATTACATCGGGTTGTAACTGTTGACACTCCCTTTTTGTAGGTATATGTGCGCACATGCCTTATCCTCAGCCATCCTGGTATAGGATGTCGGTGCCTTGCAGGATATGTCAATCCAGTTAGTGTCGCGAATGGTATATGTTTATTCTTAGAACATTGCATCTTGTTGACATTTTTTAGTGCGAGACGTAAATATGTAATACTCCCAAAACTAATTATGCAGGGCCACTAGACTTGGTCGTGAGCACCGATGACCTAACTAAGTTTATGCTGGGAATGGATATGCTGTTGAAGCATTTCATCATTTACCTGGAATATCCAAGAGGTGCATATAGGGATGAAAACGGAGCGGATAGTTTCCGTCCGCTCCGGACAAAAACGGATACGGATACCTTTCGGATCGGATAATTCTCGGATATTTCGGATACGGATACGAATATGGATATTTTCTCTCGGATACGAATACGAATATGGTATCAGGGTTTCCGTCGGATACGGATAATAATTCGGATATCCGGTGAACAGTGCTATTCGAATATCCGCAGGACCCATGAGATATACCCCATTTCTTTCTAACTCTATAACCTTCAATATACCTTTATAGATTTTAATAGTAGTTTATCTCTTAACACTAGTCCATACTATTAATATTATTTAAATTTTAAAAAATATTTATAAATTATACCTTATTTTATATAAAATGAGCTAATTATATATGTTGATATTTGTTTCTATTAGAAGTTGAGTTGGTTTTCGTGTTCCGAGAAAAATTTGTTTCCGTATTCGTGTCCGATCATATTCGATTCTTATTTGTATTCGAGATAATCCGTATTTGTTTCCGTATTCGAGCTATCCGTATTCGAGTTATCCGTATTCGTTTTTGTATCCGGTAAAAAAAATATGAAAACGAATATGGTATGAGCATTATCCGTCCGTATCCGCTCCGTTTTCATCCCCAGGTGCATATTATTTCTCAGTTGCTTTATGTTGATATGCTTCTATTTAAACTGTATTGTGAAATTACGTGTACTGGTTGATATTGACAGAAACTATTCTGTGTTTCTTCATGAATTCAAACTTCTGCTGATATTCCTCAGGTTGGAGTTCAATCTCACCCTGCAAAGTACTAAATGACTTGAAAAGGACACTTGCATGCTTTTGACAATGACCATTGCCAGGATGTGGGACAAGAAACTACTGCTACCGATGTTACACACTTTCTTAAGGGCCCGTTTAGTTCCCTAAATTTTTTTTCCAAAAACATCACATCGAATCTTTGGACATATACATGAAGCATTAAATATAGATAAAAAGAAAAACTAATTGCACAGTCATAGGGGAAATCGTGAGACGAATCTTTTAAGCCTAATTAGTCCGTGATTAGCCATAAATACTACAGTAACCCACATGTGCTAATAACGGCTTAATTAGTCTCAAAAGATTCGTCTCGCGGTTTCCAGGCAAGTTTTGAAATTAGTTTTTTCATTCGTGTCCGAAAACCCCTTCGGACATCCGGTCAAACGTCCGATGTGACACCTAAAAATTTCCTTTTTCCCAACTAAACACACCCTTAATTTACCAGTAGCTAAGCAAGAAAGTATGGCAGATGGCATGCAAGGGATCGATCTTGAAGTTTGTCAACGAATTTTCAGACTTTATCGATGCCACAGAGTCCACCAGACAGGCTAGCATTGCTGAGATTGGCTGCTGCGACTTCTATAAAGCGTGCTTTTACATGGAGAAATTCTACGAGGTCTGGCACTCCATGTTGGAAACCATGAACTTACTAGGCTGTCGGTATGTTACTTTGACCAAAATTTATCAGTAGTAAGTTTCTATTATTTTTTGAAACGGTAGAGGACAGGAGGGCTGCCGGTTATATTAGAAGGAAAAAGGGCAAAAAAGAGTTGTTACAACGTTTTAAAGGGGCTTAGATCAGGGGGAGAATACAACTTAAGGATACATCGGAGGGAAAGAAAGAAAGGAAATTAGGGAGGCTTGAAGGCAAAAGTCCGTAAGTCTAGGTCTTCCTTAATTAGCGTTGCTACTTCCTCAAAAGATTTGGATGTTTCCATTAAGAATTTTGGTTCTTGTCAATGACTGTTTTTGTGATAAAGAAATTAAGTTCTCACCCACATGATCTCGTCTGCAAAAGTGTCATTATTAGAGAGTTGTACCACACACAAGTGTCTGTAATTTCCTTCTCCAGTTTGATCACATTTTGTGGAATATGGAGTGGCAAATTGTTCATGCATGCACATGATAAAACCTTATGTTTCCTTGTTTGCATCTCATAAGTTATGTGCTATACACTGTCTTTATTCATATTTCGATTATGTATGTTTAAGCAAGCTATAGCATGATCAGTAAAATGTCAATAGGAATATGTGCTTAGACTTATTTTAGGGCGTATGGCTTGAGCAGACCAATGAACCATGAACCTGTTAGAAATACAGAGGATGTGCATTGATTTCTTTAAGAGAGAGAGAGAGAGAGAGAGAGAGAGAGAGAGAGAGAGAGAGAGAGAGAAGGATTTGCATATTTTCCAATCCTCTCTCATGAGTTTAGCCAAACCATTAAGTGTTTTTTATTCAATCTGTTCGTTGTTGTTGTTGCCCTAAAGAATTCATTTGTTATTTGACTAAATGTGCTCAAATATATGTATTATCAAGCACTTACAAAGGATCTTTCACTTTTCAGCCCATGGTCGTCTATCATTGAGGAATTTAGTCATAACGCGGAATAAGATGCTACAGAAGGAGCTGGATCACGCACCAACTGTTAAGGAACTGATGCTGCTGCAGTGTTTTTCGGCCTCCTCTATCTGCACCTCCTGTTGCAATTAAAAGATCTGGTGCGAAAACTTGGCCTGCCTAGCAATATAGTACCCCTGAAGCTGAGGACTGATCGATGGGTCAATGATGGATAGGTAGAAGCTAAGGTTCTCCAATGGCCCATGGCACTCCTATGATTCAAGGCACCCGATAATGCAGGGCACTCCCTGACTCAAGGAACCTCTGGAGCTCCTACATTTGAAGGTGCTCCTGCTGAAACACTTAGAGGGTATAGCTAGAAGCAGCAGACAATGCCGAGAAAATAGCAGCACCGGTGATGACGGACGCGACAAGTGATCTTGATTCTAATATCACCGTTACAATGGTGCACCTTCTACCGAATCAGCAGATAAGCCATCTTCAACACAGCCATCACCAGCACCACCTTTCCTGCTATATAAATCTGTCGGATTCGATTCTTTTCAGTGTGACGATTTTTTTCATATGCAGATGTATGCGTTCCACTGTAATTTTTCTGTACTGGTGTAGTTTTTGCATTGGGCAGTATCTGATAGTAACCCTGTACGTCCGCTGTCCACATCCCAAAGAGGGAGCTATACATACATTGTGTGACATAGCGTTTGTTGTCTGTGACAGTCTAAAGTTTTGCTGGATGAACTAATATGTGTCCTGCCACCAATCTGCACGTTTTTTTCTCTGTAATGTTGATTACTTCTCTTTCTATATAGCGCAAGTGCTGAGCAGCAAGCCGTCGACTGTAAAATCTCACCAGTTTATCTATCTAATATATGGACAGCGAGCATTCTAGACCCCCCTATCGCTTGTACTAGTACTAGCAGCGAGCATTTGGTTGGGCCAAATTTAGTTGAGCTTACGTGATTGGGTTGCGCAGGGTTCGGTACAGTGTCACCGGTGCACCGCGCAGGCGAGCGGAGTGCGGAAACTCTCGGCGGTCAGGTGCTGGGTGTTGCTAACTTGTCGTGTTGGCCACTTTTTTTTCGCCGGAAAGACCGAAGGAGGTCATTCAATTAAGATTGGAAGAAAAGGTTACAAGAAAAGGTTTTACATCGATAGCTGGTTGTCGAGGAAGGATGTGCACTAGAGCACACGCCCCGAACCAAGTGCCAACCGCAAACACACGCTACAGAGAGGGGAGCCGAGCACCGAACCGGCCGTCGCTATGCGAGACCGATCGCCACCGGGCCAACAACACCACCACGACGCGAAGACTCTAAAACGACGCCCTCAGGAAGGTCGCGACGCCAAAAGACGCCGTCGTCATCCGTCCCAAAAACGGAACAAGGTTTTCACCCAGAGCTCCTTGCCAAGGGAGGAGGGGTACCTCAACCATGCCCTCAGGAGGGTTACCACACCCGAAAGCGACCCGAAAGCGTAGTCACTGTTGGCCCAAAGGTTGGGCTAAGCTTTCGCTCGGTACCCCCTACCGCCATGGTCCGTTGCCCAATCCGAAACCACCATCTAAACATCGGCGGCACATGGCTTCCACCACACCCAACCGACGCCCCACCGCCGGCCGGCTTCCAGTCTTGCCAACGACAAGACTGCCACAGCACCAACCACCTCCGCCAGGTAGCTGACCCAAGCCGCCTCTGCCACGCCGCCCGCCGGCTTCCCCGTTGAATCCAACTTAAGGGAGTCCGGACATGGAACAACATTGCCTCGGCAACCTGAGTTTTCCTTGTCAACTGACCACCGCCACCAGCCTGTCAAGAAGCTCCCCGCAGAGAGGGGAGGAGCTCGCCAAACAGGGTTAGCCTGGTCGACAACAAGGAAGACGACCCCGCCGCCACGCCCTAGCACGCTGACCCAGGCCACCTCCGCCACGCCGCCCTTCAGCCTCCACGTCGAATCCGACCTATGGGACCGGACCGGGAACAACCTCGCCTTGGCAACCTGAGTCTTTCTGGTAGACCGGCCAACGCCTTCACCGTGCCTAGAAGCTCCCCACAAAGAAGGGGAGGAGCTCTTCGAACACAGCGACCGCCTGGCCAACCACGGGAAAGACGACCCCGCCGCCAGCGCGCTCCACACCGCCGCCAAGCCCAACGGCGGCCTCGCCGAAGCCAATGCTCCGCCGCCACCTCGCCGCCCACCAACGGCGACCCAGGCCGCCCAGCGTCGCTGGTCGCGCCTCCAACCCGCCACCTCCGCATGGCCAACGCGCCGTTGCCGCCGCCTACGCGCGGCCCTCGCGCCGTCCCGCGCATCCCAGGAGACGTCGCCGCGTCTTGGGTTGCCGGGCCGAGCGGCCGTCGCGAAGCCGCCGCACCGCTGCTGCCGCGCTGGGCAGGCTGCGCCTGCCCGCCGCCTCCGCGCCCGGGCTAGCCGCACCACGCTGCCCCAGGCGCCCGCCGCCTCCGCGCTCGGGCCGTCCCTGCAGAGCCACCGCCGGTGAGCCGCAGCTGCCCTCCGCCTCCGCGCTCGAGCCAGGCCGACCGAGCTGTAGCCGCACGCCGCCGCGCCGCCTCAAGCCGCGTCGCGCCGCCGGCGCGCCAGATCTAGGCGAGGGGTGGCCGGATTCGGCCTTGGGGGCGCCGGATCCGCCGCCTCCCCACGCCTCGCCGCCGTGGCCGCCTCGCCCGAGCCGCGCCACCGCCTCTGACCGCGCTGGTGAGGGATGGTGCCCCGTCCACGTCGCGCCGAGGAGGGGAACACCACGAAGGAGAGAAGCCTCGCCGCCGCCTTCCTTACACGCCGCCGGCGAGCTCCGGCAGCGGCGAGGTGAGGGGGAAGGAGTGGAGGCGTGGGCGGCTAGGGTTTTTGGCCCCCCGAGCCGCCCGCGCGAGAGCGACGCGGGGAGTTTTTCTGAAGTTCTCCTTCAAAGATGTTTCGTGTTGGCCACTTGGGAGTTGGGAACTAGGAAGCAAATCC